GTCCGAAGGCAACTTCTGTTCCATCAATTGATTGTTCTAACTGCCAGGAGATTCCTCCTTAATTCCAGGTTGAATCTCTCCTTGGATCCATTTTCCATCCATTATTCCCTGTCTGGCCTTTGGGTGCTTTGGAAAATAGCTCGACCCCCAACTCCTCTCTGAGGCAGCCTCTCAAACATTGGAAGATGCTATTGTGTCACCTCTGGTCCTTCTAGGCTACTTCAGCTGACTGCTAGTTGCTGTTCGGCAGTTCAAATCTCACCGGCTCAAGGTTGACTCAGCCTTCCATCCTTCCGAGGTGGGTAAAATGAGGACCCAGATTGTTGGGGGCAATATGCTGACTCTGTAAACCGCTTAGAAAGGGCTGAAAGCCCTATGAAGCGGTATATAAGTCTAACTGCTATTGCTATACTTATTAAATTAGTAACATGGTTGTTAAATGAATCTGGCGTTCCCATGAATTTGGCTCGCCAGAAAGGGTGATCACATGATGTCGGTACACAACAACTGTCATAAAGATGAATCAGTTGACAAGCGCCTGAATTTTCATCGCTTGACCATGGGGATATTCAATGGTTGTAAGAATGGTCAAAAATCACTTTTTTCAATGCCATTGTGACTTTGAATGGTCACTAAATGAAAGGTTGTAAGTTGAGGACTAACAGTCATGATGACATTTTCTGAATTGTCTACAAAAAAAAAGAATAATTCATGATAATTGATCATTTTATTTATTGGATTTACTTGTATGGTGAGCACTGCACACCAAGACAACGAGACACAAGAACAGGTTGTTCCCCGAACGCTCAATTCTGCTAAACAAATGATTCCCTCACCACCGTCAAACTATTCACTACGGCTGCATTACTATTCCTATTAGTCTTCTCATCATTCCTATCCCTCATCTCCTCCCACGTATGACTGCAGGACTGTAACTTTGTTGCTTGTATCCTTACGATTCATATTGATATTAATTGTTTCTTGATTGCTTACTTGTACCTGATGACTGTCATTAAGTGTTGTACCTTATGATTCTTGACAAATGTATCTTGTCTTTTTATGTACACTGAGACCATATGGACCAAAGACAATTTCCTTGTGTGGCCAATCACCCTTGGCCAATAAAGAATTCTATTCCATTCTATTCCATTCTATTCCATTCTATTCTATTCTATTCTATTCTATTCTATTCTACCCTACCCTACCCTACCCTACCCTACCCTTCCCTTCCCTACCCTACCCTACCCTACCCTACCCTACTCTATCCATTTCCAAAGATTCAGGATTAGGGGTTTTTTTGGGGGGGGAGGGAATCACATGACATTCACAATCAACTTTTCATGGGAGACAACATTTCAATAATTAAAATACATTGTAAACTTAAAAAGCACCGTTACCTGAATATCTGCTTTTGTGGTGAGTTTCTCCTCTTTGGGTGAAATCTGCATTTCACCGTATTCACTATTATTCTTGACACTTTCTATGGCCCCATATTGATCAGCCTGAGAGTTTTTCACCAGGACTTCAGTCTCGTCACTGGTGTGGGCAAGAGGTGCTTCAGGGATGCTGCACAAATGCACCGTAAGACAGAGCAGGAACACGAGGGCACCAAAAAAGAACATCACGTGGAATTCGGACCCTAAATATTTCCCCAAAATAGTTGCTCCCCAATCAATGGCCCCTGTCAGGTATCCCAGAGCCCCTCCAAGACCTAAAAGAAAAAAAAGAAAGAAAAATGCTGCTCACTTTCACATAGGCAGTAAAAATATACTTCATGCTAAATTGTCAGATTATTGCCAGAGTCACGTCTGTTTTGCAAACTTAGGCATGGAGTGTATTGCAGCTTCCTATTTTATCACAGCATTCAAACCTTATTAGAGTTAGCAATCGTATAAATACGGTGGATTTTCTCCATGACAAATGATATGCTATAATAATACAGCAAGACACACATCTAGCAAAACTAAATTGTGTAACTTTTCTTTAGTTCTTGCGGGCAGATAAGCTAAAATGTCTTGTCATTTAGAACAATTTCCAAGATGTGCACCAGTTCTGTTTGCAGCAATGCAATCCAATCCAGCACCAAAGATGGCATAATCTCAGAACTGATAGGATCTCAAACCCACAGCCCCTCAGTTGGCCCAGGCATCATTTGAAGCCCGTTGTTCCAATCCAGATCCTCACAGCTTCCAAACACTGGGAAAAGGCGTCCATACATTGCTTAATTCACCAGGGGTAAAGTAAAGGTTCCTCTCGCACATATGTGCTAGTCGTTCCTGACTCTAGGGGGTGGTGCTCATCTCTGTTTCAAAGCTGAAGAGCCAGCGCTGTCTGAAGATGTCTCCTATGGTTATGTGGCCAGCATGACTAAACACCAAAGGTGCACAGAGCGCTGTTACCGTCCCACCAAAGGTGGTCCCTATTTTTCTACTTGAATTTTTACATGTTTCGAACTGCTAGGTTCAGAAGCTGGGACAAGTAACGGGAGCTCACTCCCTTATGCAGTGCTAAGGATTTGAACCGCTGAACTGCCAACCTTTCAGATCAACAAGTTCAGCANGCTTTTTTCTCCGCGCTGTTGTCGCGCTGTGATGACATCAGCTACGCGGTTTCATCGAGCGCGCTTTAGTCGAACGCGGTTTTGTGGTGGAACCGGCCAGTGCGTGATGCATCCAGCCCTTGGGCTCCAAGTTTGACATCCAGGGATGTAACCCATTGCTTTCTGGGATTAAAACTTACTGTAATGTAAAATCAAAATGTACCATAGACCTACTTTGGGCTCCTCTATTTCCTGAAGTGCATTTTTTGTTTTGTTTTTCAAAATACGTTGAGAATTTAAACATGGTTTGAATACCAGATACTTAATGTAACTTGGTTTGCATTTTTTTATACACCGAGAAATCCAATATTTAAAATACAGTAAAAATATGGCATACATAATTTGATTTTTCTCCCCACTGTTTTCCTAGGAATGCCTAACTGAATGATATAGCACAACTTTGCAAAATTCATTCTTTCCACAACTGCAAAGCGTAAAGTCATATCCAAAGTAATCAAGCGAATGAATGTAGCCAGGCATACATATTGCTTTTCTGGAATCAATGCCAAAGATTTATCTTCAGAAATTAAAAAACGGAAGATTTTATTGAGCAGAGCCTCTATCTTCACAGTTGCATTAATGCGGGATTAGCAGATATTGACATAAAAGGTTTAAACACGGGAATAAGCAAGCTGACACACAGCCGATGTTATTGATGACAACGCCTCACGCCTGCTATACAGCAAAAACCAATGACATATTTTTAGCAGATGACTTTTGAGCCCATCCTTCACAGATTTTGAGGGAGCTAAGATTTGAAATAAAATCCAGAATGGCCTTTTTTTCTTTATTATACTTCACTTTACTCGTGTTGAGGCCTACTGCACCAGCCAAGGTCAATACCCCCTCCAGGGGCATCTCCAAAATATATATTTTTTAAGTCAATACAATGGTTGTGCTTGTTCAACTGAAGGTTTGTCCCCTTTTTATATGTGTGTGTTGTAGGTGCTGTGTTCATAAAAGCTGGGGCTTCAATCTTGTCAGCCCAGTCACCATCTTGATTTTTCCCCCCCTAGGAGTATATGTTCTCGATTTATGACCACAATTGTGCCAAAAATCTATGTTGCTAAGCGAGACAATTGTTAAGTGAATTTTGCCCCCTTTTATGACCTTTCTTGCCACAGTTCAGAGCCGAGGTGGCGCAGTGGTTAAATGCAGCACTGCAGGCTACTTCAGCTGACTGCAGTTCAGCAGTTCGGCTGTTCAAATCTCACCGGCT